TCTACTAAGCAGTGGTCTGGCAAGAACTGAAAATGGCAATGGTGATGGAGGGAATATGCACCTTAGCAATTTTAGCTCATTATTGGACATGGTTACCTGCACTTTGCCTAGTAGTGGTGTAATGCACATATACTACTGTCTGATTCCATTTTGGAGCCACTGAATTGACAGAAGTTACTATGAGCTTTGAGCACCATCTAATGGACAGTTTATAGTCAGTCAAATATGAAATTTAGCAAGCTCCTGAGCCCTAAGCATGAACAATGATCAGAATTCAGAGGTCAGGGTCAGTTTGAGAGCAAGATAATCAGAGAGGTTAAAGTAAACTTTGAAGGGTCTGGAGTAATACGCAGAACTGATCAGAAATTTTGGCTATGCGGGTACATGTACATAAATTCCCACTGTCTGCAAATCGGCAATGACACCTACTGGTACACAAGGATTAATTAAAGGCAGATGTCTCTGCTCATGAAAAATCTAGAGGCTTTTTGCTTCTTGGCTTAAAATAAAAATAAAAACCTTTTAATGTATATCATGGCTTTTGTCACCAGGGGAATAAATGAAGAATGTTCTACTATGTCATAGTTCAAGCAGCGGGGCTCTGCTTAGTGTGTGTTATCAGTGGCTGGCACACCGGCCCCTAATCCTTTCTGTCTGATTCAAGGTTGCTGAACAACCCTCCCTCCCTCTCGGTTAATGTCTGGAGATGGAGAACTTCAACTTATAAACCCAACATATGCAAGATTTATGACCCTCTTTGTCCCTGTGTTCCAGAGCCAAGTTGATCAGCTATGTACAGTATGTACCCTTCATGCTCTGCTATTTATTACGGTGCTACCCTAATAGCTGTCTCATCATATAGAACTGGACTTGGGCTCAATGATTCCTGAATGGGGGCTTAGGAACCTAACTTTAGACATCCTTCTTGAAGTCTTCCCTTCAAAGGATATTTTAAAGTGGTTGATAAGAATTTATCATGGAACAATTGGGGAATATAAATTTAGCTTAAACTGAGGTCTATAACATTGTGTATAGCCAGCTTTTTCCTACCTTCCTCCTCTTAAACTTCAGTTTAGAACTGAGATTAAAGTCTAATGGCCTGATTCTGCAAACACTACCACAATCAGTCCCACTGAAGTCAAGGGGACAACACACAGATAGGTGTTGAGATGCTAGAGCAGTGATACTCAGACCTCAGTGGTTCAGGAGCCAAATTAGCAATCACCATTACCCAAAAGAGCTACAGCAGTGTGAATTCATTGTTTAATTTACTATAGTACTATGTATTCATATTTAAATAGTAAGATGGGAAATATTTAGTGTGTGTATGTGTACATACGTATATATTATTCTCACAGCAAAATGACTGATCAAGTATTATTTTATCACCTACAATTGGTTAAGAACATAGTAAAAGTATCCTAGTAAAAGCACAGTGTTTTAATATGTGCTGCAAAGAGCCGCAGGAGACATGTTAAAGAGCCGCTTGTGAGCCTCAGTCTGAGTATGACTGCTAGAATTAATAAAGGCATGACATAAGGCACGAAGAGTAGTGGGAGTAGAAGGGAAGGAGGTTTACACAAGATGAAGTTACTTGCTTTTACCTTGTCTACATCATGTTCCACATTCTTATGGGTTATTTTAATTTGATTTGATTAAACTGGTGCTAGATTTATGCTGTTTAGTTTCCTTTTTTTTAAGCAATTCACACAACTGGGATTGGGAAACTAGACTGATCAGTACATTTCCTGGTTATATTTGGTTTCACTTTCTGGTTCTTACCTCATACATAATAATAGCATCCTAAACTGAGAATAAAATGGTCAGCTTGAGCATCAGTAGGAGGAGGAAAAACTCCTAGGCATCAAAGATCTTGATTTTATGTAGCTGTCATCGTTATTAATAACATCAGTAAAACACACAGAGAGAAATATAAATTAAAGAGATAACACAGAAGCAGCACTGATCTTAAATAATATGACCTAAGTTTTCCACCACTGGTTTCCTCAGGGTCTCTTTAATTGTTTTTATGTCCTATTAAATAACTGGACTATAGCAATCAGTTTATTTTAATGTGTTAGTTCTTTTCCAAACCTGGATTTCTGGGTGTACTCAGCGGTGCTTCTGCTGCCACTGGTATGTTATGATAAATTAACATGCTCTCGTGAGCGTAGCTGTTTGCAGTACACTATGTCTGTCATTTCTCCAGTTGACAGTGCAGCCTCCTACCAGCAATTGCAGAGGTTATCCATGCCAAAAAGCATGGACGCAGTTTGGGGAAGGAAAGGGGGCGTTGACCCTCAAAACTGAAAGCCTCAGGCAAATGTGGAATTCCCTGCCCCCCCTCCCCCCCACGGCTCCATTGGCCTGACTGGAGCTGCCTCCCAAAATAGAGAAGTTAAACTATGCTTATGACAAAAAAGCTTTAATTAGATGCTGTTTGGAATTAGAGGTGAGTAGATGATTAGCTGATGAATTTAGCCTTGGTTTTGCTCATCCAATATCCATGATGAGCTTATACCCTCTACCTTTGTTGCTATTCAAAAGCATTAGGAATTTTATTTTAATTATTTTGCCGTCTATTTCTGAATTGATGCTAAGCAGGTCTCTGTGAATGTTGAGGCTGTATTTGGTTAATCGTCAATGGTTAGAAAAAAACACATGGCATTGTTTCTGTTCTCCACATGGTTGTGTGCACAAGTATTTCCAGCACAAATCTAAAATTCTCTATGTGAATCCTTGTGCGCTGCTTCGATGTTGTCATTAGTTATGATTTGTATTGTGGTAGCAACCTCAGCCATGGACCCAGACCTTGTTGTGCTAGGCGATGTACAAACACAGCACAATAAAACAGTTCTTCCCCAGAAAGCTGCTTATTTAACCCTTTCCATGCACTTTTGTACCAGTAAAATGCAATCACTCAGCTGTTCTTGGAAAGTGAAGGCAAAAGAGGCTTGATGAGGCTAAAGCAAATTAATTTCAAAATGCTATTGAATAGTCAGATTTTGTTTTTCAGTATTTACCCTGTTAAAATGCCCAGGTAGATGAATTGTTTTACTTTCGTAATATTTTTGCCTTCTAACGTGATGTTTTAGCATAACTAATTTTGAGCTCTGCTGTTTTTCTCAGGTTGTCTGTCTTTGTGTCATGACCCACAGGTCTCGAACCTGGGTCTGCAGGAGCAGCCAGGCTCCGACCCTCTACCTGGCAGCTTACTGACAGCTGCTTACCTAGGACCTACAAAAACCAGCCCCAGTTTGAGGCTCTGCCGCTGAGGTCCTATTGGCAGAGTGTCAGAGCAGCAGATTGGCTCACAGGCCCTACTTAAGCCAGCAGCAGGATCCTGTTTGAACAGCTGAGCTCCACCCTGCTCTGAATTGTGCGCCATCCCACTGCTGCCCCCACTCTCCTAGCTTGACTTCTGGCATCTGACTTGTGGCTCCTGACCTCCAGTCTGTCTCCTGCCTCTGACACCCCTGGTATCCTGACCCATCCTGACTCTGGTTCCTGACTCGTGGCTCTGGTCTCCCGGGACCCTGACCCAGCTGACTCCTGACTTGTGACTGTGGACTCTGGCTCTGACCATTAGGTCTGGCTGCCCATGGCCCAGTCATCACATTTGTTTGTAACTTTTCGAGAGTGTTGCTCCACAATGCAATATCAGCAAAGTCTAGGTCTCCTAGCCTTTGCCATCTACCCATGTAATACCAGTGTCTGTGTTGCTAATACACTTGTTCATTATTCACACTTTGGCAATGCCAAACAGCAGAAATGAAATACAGCCCTGTTTCACTCCAGTGTCTATGCTGAACTACTCTGTTGAACATCACACTTGTCCATCTGCCCACTGAAGAACTATGTTTCTATTGAGCTGATCTGGTTTTGTTATTCACCATTCCAAAGCTCATGACAGTAGATGTCAAAAATGTCCAGTTATTTAGATCTAAAATCTAAATTATTTGTCTCCTGATGACAAAATGTTCTGACTGAGAGGTCATAAGGATTTCCTGCTATGAAGAGACTTGTTTGCTTCATGCAGCTTGTTTGACCATGAGTTTCCTATGCACAGTCAGAGACGGGGCAAGTGATGTTGAGTAATAGAAGTTGTATGTTGACTCCCTCCTTCCATTTGTTTCTGTTCAGTGGAAAGAGGCGGAATTTAATTTTCACATCATTAGGGTGGTCTGCCTAATCTATCCATGCTGCTGCACTCATCAGGGTGGTATCTGTTCACCTCTGCACTGAGAACAACTGAAATTGTCTGAGGAAGTAGAAAGGAACAACAAGAAAAACATACAGACACTAACATATTGGTCATTGAAATGTAGAAATGTGGTTTGACAAATAACCTCAGTTGGCATGACTGACTATCTGATTACAACCCATTATAGGAAGGTCTTCAGATTATCTAGAAATAGTTCAGGGTCTCTTTATGTAAGGAGTAGTCAGAGATCAGGTTTGTTTAAAATAATCAAAGTAATTTGAAATTTCATGGGCATGGCTTTTCTAAGTTGTTTGTTTCATTTTATTGCAGCACTGAGAGTTCTTTGGTATTGTAAATGAATCAGATAGAATAGGAAAGAAAATGCCAGAAAAGCAAGCATAATCAACAGTGACCCCAATATCCTGAATATGTAATATACATTAGCACATCCACCTGGAATCAAAGCTGCAGTTTATGTCCAGGCAGAAACTCTATGAGAAACTCAAGGAGTATTTTGCAATATAGCGTGGGAACAGTGCCCAGAGCAGAAGCACGCACACATGAGAGATGTGGAGTTAGTTCGGAGCAGGAAGTTCTTAAAGTTACACACACTCTTCCAGCAGGGCTGAAATTGTTTCTGAGAAACTATCCTTTGGATTTGTGTGTCTGTGTTTCTATTAGTTTAGTAGCTCCCCCCGTTTTGACCTCGCACTATGAAACTGGCATAGCGAGAAAACATTTTGAGTTGAAACATTCATTCCACATTACGTGATTCTTGATTAAAAGGCCCATTCGAAAAATATTTAACCCTCTGACTTCCTCCCTGAGAATTCTAGACAATTCTGAGTTTTAAAGACTAATTGCAAATTGTGTCTAACTGGATGGTGAACACAGGCACTTCCTTAATCAGAAATAACTAACCAGTACTCTTGCTGACAAGCCAAAGTAGAGAGGCCAAGGACTGATTGATTGGGCAATGAAAATAGAAAATATCCTCTCAGTCCTAATGATGGTTCTTCTAAGTCAGGGTTGAGGCATAGTAGAGTGTGGGGGAAGCTTGCATTGCCATGTGTATAAAGACATGACTTCAGGGCTGTCATCCTCGCCCAGCACAAAAGTTCACATGGGAAAAAGATTAAATTTAAAAACAGAAAATAGATAAAACTGCCATTCTTAATCATCAACACAGCAGGGATTTATTTTGTTGGTTTTTTTTTAAAAAACCCTCATACTTTAAAACAAAGTACAGCGAAAGCCATCTAAAGCCACCACTCAAAGACCTAACAAAAACCAGCTGATTGATAAATCATGATGGATTGTATATTAAACGTGGAGCAGAACGGTACTCAGTACATTGGGGGTTCTTTTAGAGTGGTATCTAAATAAAGGAAGTTGCCAAATAAAGGGTGATCTTTTGTGTAGGTTACACTCTTCAGAATCAGATTCAATAGCACTAATAACCTCTAACAGAGTGAGGAATGCTGCTCACTGATCTGCTCAGGGTGATAGTGGTGGTATTAGCTCTGGCGGTGGCAATGTTAAACCCTGTATTTGGCTCTTGGTAGTTAAAGGGATATATAGGAATTGTTTCACTGACCAGTGACATATGTACTCTCAGTTACCACAGCAATGGAGTCATACAAATATCTGACAGATCACAGCAGCACTGCTGCAACAACCTTTTTGGACAGGAAGTGAAGGATAGTTTGAGGTGAACAACTGCCTGAGTTGGAATGTGGCTAGGATACTAGAATTAATGCTGCTGCTCTGTGGGCGGGATCTGCCTTGGGATCTTGAATGATCAGCTGAGGCCAGAACTTTGGTTTTACATTTCATCAGAAAGACACAGGGCCATTCCTAGACATTGTAGTGCCCTACGCAGCCCCCCCGTGTGGGGGAGGGGTCTGGCCCCAGGCCTCCACGGGGGATGGACGGACTGCACTCAAGGTCTGTGGGGGGCAGGAGCAGGCTTGGGGGGGCAGAGGGGAACCGCCCTCCAGCACGAGCCAGCGGAGCGGGTTGGGGCTGGGTTGCTCCACTTCCTGTCGCCTGGTGATTGCAGGGCGGGCCTGACCCCGCACTCACGGGGTGGCAGGAAGTGGAGCGACCCGGCCACAACCTGCTCCGCTCTGCTCCTCTGGCTCCCAGCCTTGGGACTTGGGGTGCAGTGGGGAACCATCCCCTAGCACTCACCAGTGAAGGGAGCAGGCTGGGTCGCTCCACTTCCTGCCACCCAGTGAGTGCAGGCAGCGGTGTATTATCGCCTAGGCCGACAAATTTGCAGGGGCGGCAAATTTTAGCACCCACAGAGAAGCTCCCATGCTCCAGCTCGCCTCCTCCGCGAGCCCGCCGCCGCGTCCTGTTTCTCTCCCATCCCTCCCAGCGCTTGCGCTGCAAAACAGCTGTTTTGCGGGGCAGGGAGGGAGCGGGGAGGAGGGGGAACGCGGCGTGCTGGGGGAAGAGGTGGGGCTGGGGTGGGGATTTGGGGAAGGGATCCAATGGGGGCAGGGAGGGGGTGGAGTTGGGGTGGGACTTTGGGGAAGGGGTTGGCATGGGGGCAGAAAAAGGGTGGAGTCGGGGAGGGGCCGGGGCGGGCGGGGCAGCAATTATTTCAGGGCCTGGGGCGGCAAAATCATTAATCCACCACTGAGTGCAGGGCACGCCCGACCCCTGCTGGGACCTAGCTCAGGGGATGGGGTGGAGTGGGGGCAGGTCTGGGGCAGAGCAGTGGTGGGAAGAGGCAGGGAAGGGGCGGGGCAGGGGCAGTTTTCCTGGCCCGCTCAGCCGGCTGGGGGATCGGGCTGGCCGCTGGAGCAACATGCAGCTGTGTAGGCCACCAGGAAATTTGGGACAATTTGGTGCCCTACGCAGCTGCATAGTTTGCGTATCGGTAAGGATGGCCCTGGAAAGATAGCACCCCTTAGCAACCCAATGAGACACTGCTTCAGCAATGACTCACAGGAAAGACTGCTTACGCCAACGTGACCAACATCACTGCTTTCTGCACTTTGGATGTGTGTCTTCCAAATACCAAGCTTTCCTAACACTAGTTGGTGTCTAAAGCTGATGGAACCAGAGCACACAATGGTTTAGCTACAGGCAAAAGACAGGGTCATAGAGTTTAAGGCTAGAAGGGACCACCAGATAATCTAGTCTAACCTTCTGTGTATCACAGGCCACCAGCACACCTGCACACTAAACCCAACACTGAAATTAGACCAAAGTATTACAGCCCACAGGAGACTAGGCTGTTATGTGTTCCACACAGAGAATAGGCGGGACCAAGGTGCACCAGTGCCCAAGGCCTCCTCATTGGAGATTAAGTGAGATATACCCAGATAATCCTGGCAAGTGATCTGCACCCACCTGCTGCTGAGGAAGGCGAAAACCCTCAAGGTCACTGGGGGTTTTCCTTCCCAACCCCACATAGGGGGATCATAGGCTACATAGGGCAACAGTTATACTCTGAGCATGTGAGCAAGAAACACTAGCCATTGAGAGAGAGACTGCTCCATGCCAACTCAGAGCCCTGTCCCTGATGCTTCAGAGGAAGGAGTTTAAAAAGACCAAACAGAATACATTGGGGAGAAAAGACCCCTTCCTAGCTTCCACAGGTGGTCAACTGAAACATGAGCTTTTAGGAACTTAAGACATAAATCAGAAGTAAGCCCCAGGGCTGATGAGCCCTGCCCCCCACCATCACAAGGAACCCTGTCCTACAATCACACACATAAATTTGTTTCAGCTCCCTCTTAAAACAAATAAAGATGTTTGCTGCCACAATTCCTATTGGGGGGTTTCCAGAACCTCTCCCCTCTGATGGGTAGAAACTCTAATTTCCAGCCGGAATTTGTTCATGGACAGTTTGTATCCATTTGTTCTTCTGCCAGCATTGCCTTTAACTTAACTAGCTCTTCACCTTCCCTGGTATTTACTCTTGATGCATTTATAGAGAGCAATCATATCCTCTCTCAGCCTTCTAGACTAAACAAGCTAAGCTCTTCTAGTCTTCTCTCATAAGATAGGCTGTCCGTTCCCCTGATCATTCTAGTAGCTCTTCTCTGCACCTATTCTAGTTTAAATTCACCTTTCTTGACCATGGGTGATCAGAATTGTACACAAGTATCAGAGGGGTAGCCGTGTTAGTCTGGATCTGTAAAAAGCAACAAAGAGTCCTGTGGCACCTTATAGACTAACAAATGTATTGGAGCATAAGCTTTCGTGGGTGAATATGAAGTGGGTATTCACCCACGAAAGCTTATGCTCCACTACATTTGTTAGTCTATAAGGTGCCACAGGACTCTTTGTTGCTTTTTACAGAATTGTACACAGTATTCCAAATGAGGTTTCACCAGTGCTTTGTGCAGTGGCATTAATACTTATCTATCTCTACTGGAAATGCCTCACCCCTACATCCTAGGATTGCATTTGCCTTTTTCACAGCCAAATCACATCGGTGACTCAGTCATCCTGTGATTGACTCATACACCCAGGTCTCCCTTGTCCTCTGTCGCTTCCAACTGATGAGCCCCCAACTTGTAGCAGAAATTCATATTGTTAGTCCCCAAGTGCGTGACTTTGCACTAT